CCGGGGTCCGCTCGCGCGCCGCAGGAGAAGCCCTTTGTCTCCTAACTGGTTAAGTACAGAATATCCGGGAGATCTTTATGAAATATTTTCCCTCGTCTCATAAATCATCTTGGCACTTCAGCTGATGTTTTAACTCTCTCTCCCCTTCACTCCCTCCCCCCTCCCTGGTCTGCTCCGGCAGCCGGCAGACCCGCTTCCCCGGCCCTCGTCTGCAGTCCTGCAGCTGGGGAGGGGGGCAGACCGCGGACTCTTGCTCCTGACCCCAGGCCGCAGCCGGGGCAGCCCCGAGGATGGGAACACACTTGCCCGACTCAGCCGGGTGCAGCCCGACTCTTTCTGGGGGCCTCGAACCCCAGTTTTCGGGGCACCCTTCCTCCTGGGTTAAGTCTCCCGCCAGGCTCAGGCTTCCAGGGTTCTGAGCATCTCACTGCTCAGGGGCTGGGTCCTACTCTCCCTCCTGGATCGTCCTGAGCCCGACCCGCCTAAGTTGCCGGCAAAATAACTTCTAGGGAGAAAACAAAACAACTGCCCACCTGCCTCCCCACTCTTGTGCTCGCTCTCGCCTCGGCTTCCCCTGGGTGGCGGAGCGGATTCCCGGGCCCGGAGGTTGGAGGTGCCGGGTCCTACGGAAGGTCAGTCGCTTCCTCTCAAAGCCTGCAGGTGGCGCTCCCGGGTTTCCTTTGGCCTCACAACCCCCACGAACACGCACTAACTTCATGTGGGGAGCGGAAGAGGAAGAGTTCTGCAGCCTAACGGGAACACTAAAGGCCTGGACCACGGGACTCTTGGGGGCCTTCAGCTGGCGCAGCCTTGGGTTTTCTTTGGGAAGGTAATTCACCCAGAATCTCAGTAAGGGGTATTGAAGAAAGGTCCTTATTTGAGAGGAGCTCACAACCAAAGGAGGGAGCCCTGGCCCCGCGTCTCCATATGCTGGTGACCCTGCAAGTTGAGTCTGAGCCGTGGGAAGAGCAGCCCGAGTAGAATCTCCCCCTTCGCACACACATATTCGGGTTTTCTTAGAACTCGACAGATACAGCCCGATACTACCACACTACGGCGCCTGTGCTTGGACAACAGCTTTTCTTCACGTGGAGCCAGAGAGATTTTCCACATTTCGTAAAGGGGGACTAACGAGTGCACACAGTGAGCTGGAGGTTGTGCTTCGGCACCTGTTCTCCCTCTGTGCTGCTCAGCAGTGAAGACCCTCCAGTGACAGTCCAGTTCCAGAGTCTGAGTCACCCCCCACCCCCATTGCCAGCCCTTCCCGGTCTCCCAGATAAGTCAGGAGCCCTATTAACCCAGGCTCTGCCTTCTCTCAGGACTCCAGGGGAAAGGGCTGGCCTGCGGGGTCCTCTCCACTCACTGGCATCTCTGTCTGACTCCCCCTTTCCTGCTCTTCCTTTTCTTCTATACAGTTTAGCAAATGGGGTGGGGGAGGCAAGTAAAAAAGGAAGAAAGAAGAGGAAAAGAAAGAGAAAAAAAGAAGACAACCAACCCCAAACACAACCCCCGGCTCCGACCTGTCAGGGTTGGTTGCTTTTCCGTCTGCCTCTAAATGAACCTTTTCTCTCTGGTGTTTTCAAAGCGGCCCTTCCACCCTCCAACCTAGGGGCATTTACACTTCAAACAAGGTTCCCGCCTCCCTGCGGAAATTTAAAGGCAAATAAACTTTTGGGGAGTTGCTCTGATACCCATCTCGGGATTTGCTTCATTAGCCGCCTCTGTGCATCTGATCTGCCCAATAAATCTTTCTTGTGGATCTCGGCTCCTTCGCCTTCCCTGCTCCCTTCCCTGCCAGCTCGCCTGGCGCCTGAAGGCCCCCTCCTGCCTCCTCCCTCTTGGCTGGCCGGCTGGCTGGGGCTGCCTAGTTCTCGGACTGGGCTGTGCCTGTTTTTCCTGGGTGTAGGTGTTGAGTTGGGGGTCCAAGATAAGCATCCCTCTCGAATGTAATGGCTGGTGTGACTTCCACTTTCAGGCCTCACTGCATTTCTGGGCAGACTGCAGAAGTGAAGGGCTGCGTACATCCGTCTGCAGCCTGGCTTGTGCCCACTTCTTTTGCCACCTTTGCTCATTTTCCCTTTTGCTACTCACTGGCCCCGAGCTTGGTGCTCCAGCTAGGAAAGGCAGAGATGTGGCCACCTTGCCCTAGCCTGCTGGGCTCTGATCCCAGTCCAGGAGCCTGGCTCTAGGGGTTCAGAAAGGCAGTTAGGCTGCGGGGGCCTGTGGAGCACCCGGGCCGTGCCCCCTTCCTGTAGCCTGCTGGGCCGGCCTTCCACCTGCCACCTCCCTGGAGTATGGAAGGGAGCAGGACCTGGCTCTGAGAAAGGGGATTAGAAATTCTGAAATTAAATGTATCTCTCCAGGAAATGCTCCCCACGGCGCAGACCAAATTAAACTCATTAAAGTGGGGGAGCTGTTTAGAATCAAGGGGAGAAAAGCTAGTCCCAAGGAAAAGTAGCAGAGACAGAGAGAAGAGACTAGGGTAGAGCCAGCAGCTGCTTCATAGCCCATCTCTGTTTCTGCGTCATTCCGTTTTAGAAGTCACCACCAGCAGAAAGAAAGAAAAAAGTTCCTCAGACAACTCCACGATGGACATCCGCAGCCCACTTGCCCTGAAGTCCAGGTGTCCCGGAGCGGGCACACCCTCCGTGCCCAGGTCCCCTCCCCCTGCCTAGCCCTCTGGTCATGTTGGAGGATGGCTTTTTTTTTTTTGGAAGAGCTTCTGGTACAATATGGAGCACCACGGGCTGCAATTTCACACTCCATAGCACATTCCCCCTAAAGCTACTTTCTTTTTTTATCTAAGACCCCCTAATTTCTGCTTCCTCACCCATCTCCCTCCCTCCCTCCCTCCCGCTCTCACACTTCTTTTCCGGCTTTTGTTCCCAATATTTGGGCACCCGCGTAAAGCCCAGGGGACCTGACTCTGGCCGCCCCCAGCCGCTGGCTCTGCTGCTCCAGCTCTGCCAGTGGAGTGCTGGGCCTTTATCCTCCTTGGCCCCTCCTGCCTAAAGCAGGAGAGGTCCTAGCAACCTGCCCAGCCCTTCCTGGCCCCTCTGAGGGCCAACACAATGCCCGTCACTTGGCCTCCAAAGGGGCCTCTTAGCGGCAAGGGTCAGCCAGGTGGCTGCTGACTGTGGGTGCTGGACTAGGGGATGAAGAAACAAGCAAGCCAAGAAAAATCAGTCTGGCAGGTCCTCAGACTGGAAGTAGAGGGTCCTGACCAGAGGGGGCTGGGCACGAGCCCCTGGTGCTCCTCACTCAGACCCACACACACACAGCCTGTCCCTCTTCCCCAGATTTCCATGGACTTCTGCACAGCTCAAGGGGCCAATCATCCCCCAGGCCACAGGAAGGAGAAGTGGCCACTACCTTCACAACTCCTTTGCTTCTTTAGGCCTCAATGTTCTCACCTGTACAATGGGGATCATTACACCTGTCTTGTCTACTCTACCGTGCTACCCAACAGGCATTTCGGAAAAACAAACATTTTGTAGTTTACAGAATAACTGCCCAGCTTTCTGAGTGCTTGACCTTCCACAAGGGAAGGAGGTAACTGAGCGCTTGGGGAGACCAGGAAAGGTGGAGTTTTTCATCCCACGCCTACCCTTCCTGAGTTCCTCCCTTTAAGACATTTTCCCCTTTCCATCCGACCTTACCTCACCCTGTGTGGGCTCCTCACTGCTCCATCTCTCAGACTGCTCCTCAGGCCCATTCCTGAACCCCTCCCGGACCAGCTCAGCCGCCGCAGGGTCAGTTAAATCCCTCACTCCCCACCCCAACCAGGTTAACTGTGGCTGGGCACGGTCCCCTCCAGCCAGTCCGCAGAACTCAGAGGAAGAGTGGTCCAGCGGCAGAGACTTGGGAAAGGAAATCTGTCCGGTCCAGTTCCAAACAATGAGTTGGTCCAGGACGTACAGTCAACTTGCCCAAGCCAGAGCGAGGACGAGGCGGTGGGGAGAGGCGCTCCTGAGGGGCGGCAGCAAGCAGAGAAAATGAGGAAAGAGGACGTGAGCAGCGCGGAGGGGACTGGAAAGGCACCTGGCTCTGCAAGGCCTGAGGAAGCTGGTTTGGGCAAAGCCAAAGTCTCTCCAAGCCCCAGAGAGCAGGGTGGGGGCGATGTTGGTGGGGAAGAAATGATTAACCCTCTTCTCAGCCAGGCCGAGGCCTGCCGGGCTGCGGCCCAGGGATTCAGTGCGGGCCACCAGGGCTTCCTAGCTCTAGCCGCCGCCACTGCAGAGCGAGGGGGCCAGGAACTCAGTGCGGGCAGGGGAACGCAACTCCGGGCGCGCGCGGCGCGGGAGAAGCGGAGAGGGCGACACAGCCACAGCCCACACAGGGGCCGAGGAGCAGGTGGAGAGGGGTGTGAGGCCCTGGGGTGGCCGGCAGTTGCCGACAGACGCCCAATCTACAGTCTCGGATCCATCCGCGCCCGCCCGCCCTTCCTCCTCTCCAGCGGCGGTGGGTGTGAGCAGCGGCGGAGAGCGCGCCAGAGCCCGAGCGGGTAAGGTAGGGGAGACCGTCAGAGGCCGGAGGCCCAAAGGCAAGGACGCGCGGGCGGAGACAGGTCACCAGGTGGCCAGAGACAAAGGACCGAAGCGTAGGGGAGAGAGGACACTGGGTAAAGGTCTGGCCGGGGTAAAGGGAGAGCCAAGGACAGGGCCCTCTCGTGGAGTAGCCGAGGTTGTATCCTACGCTGCCCCCTCGGCGGCGCGCCCTAGCCTGGAGCAGGGAAGCACCCTAGGGGGCCGAGGCCGGCTGTCCAGGGGCCTCGGGCAGGACCGGTGGGGGGGCGTTTCCAGGAGATGCTCCAGCCAGGCCGTGTAAGTACCGCGTGCGTCTCTGTGTGTGTGAGAGATACACACACGCACACGCACACGCACAGGCACGCACGCGTGGCGTACCTGAGCGTTTGAGAGACTGCTCAGGCTAAGGGACAGGGCCAGAGCTGTAGAGTCGGATCCCTGCTGCTGGCATATGGGAGCCTCCGCCCGCCACCCTCTGCGGACCAGGGCTGTCCCCTTTGTGCATTGGAAACAAAAGTGCCTGGGGAGCCAGGGCAAGGTCTCTTTCTAGAAAAAAAGTGATTTGAGACTTTAAGGGTCACCTGCACCACAGATCTCTCTAAGTGTCTGTAACTGTTTCTACAAAACAAAAGGTGCCAAATAAATCTGGATAAGAGGTCTGGGCCCAGAAGTTCACCCGCCCTGCCGAATGAATCTAGATAGGTGGTGGGGTTTAGACCCGCTGCTAACGAAAACACTGAACACACTGGCTCAGGGCGGGGTGGGTGGGGGGAGGCCCGATGTGTTTCTTTGGAGGCAGTGTCTCTGGGTGAGGGTGTGAAAAATGCGCGCGCGCGCGTGTGTGCGTGTGTGTGTGTGTGTGTGTGTGTGTGTGTGTGTCCCAGGGTGTTTGGGCAAACAGCTGTGCTTTAGGTGGGCTGAGAACGGAGCTCAGGGCCACATCCAGCACCTCCCCCTCCTCCCTCTGCGGAGGCTGCTTTGAGGCCAAGGCCTCTGCAGTCTCTTCCAGCAGGGCCGCCAATCAATCCTGCAGGTCAACACAGCAATTAATAATGGGGTGAGGAGGCCTGGCAAAAGAGGGTGAGGAGGCAGCAGGCTGCGTCTCCCCGAGGCGCTGAGGACCTGGCGAGGATGAGGGAGAGGATCTGAGAAACCTGAGTAGTCAGTGTGAGCCCAGAGTGGTTACAGGGCCCCGAGAGGGAGGCCAGCGGAGAAAGAAGGAAGTCATGGAGAAACCCCTTATTTTTATGTTCCTGGGGTACAGACTGCCATAGCTGGAGACCACAGCTGACACAGTCCCTTTCCCCTTCCTCCTCCCTCTGCTGATAAGGTTTTGCTGCTCAGAAGCGGGCTCAGCCAGACTGAATAAAACCCGCATCATCTGCAAACCTGGCCGCAGCAGCTGAGTCCAGGCATGCGGTAGGTACACTTGCTCTCCCAAGTCACTTTGAGCTGTTGGGATGAGGCAGGAAAGGGCGCAGAAGCATCTGGGGGATGCAGGCTCCCAGGAATTGTGCTCTGGCCCGACGTGGCACTGGGAAGTGTGAGGGCAGGGGAGTGGGAGAGACCGCCAAGGAGCAAGGAAAGGGAAGGCTGTGGGAAGGAGGGCAGACGACTCCCAGTCTGCTCGGCTGGGGCTCACCCAGAGATAGGGTCACTGCCTCCTTCTCAAGCTGCCCAAGCTCCCACCATTCTCACCCTAGCTGGGCCTGCCAGGTACAGAGCCTGGCTCTGCGGAGGAAGGGAGGGAAAGGGAGTGTGGTACACAGCCCGGCCCCCAGCTGCTGTGCCAGGCGCCCCTGGGTACACAGGAAGGGTCCTGGTCTCTTCTGAAGTAACTCAGGTGTCTTGGGATGAAGGCACTAACAGGCACCCCATCACTGCCTCCTCTGTCCCGAGGCGCTGGGTTGGGGGCTGGATGGGCTGTTGGGTTGCAGTCCACAGCATTCAGGTGGCATACAAGCCAAAGGGAGCTGCGTGCCAGGAGGGAAAATGGAAAACTGGGAGTATTAGGGGCCAGAGCAAAAGGGGTCAGAGAAAGGGGTGGAGACAGGAGGCAAATAGAATCTGAGGGAAGAGGGGAGAGAGAGAGGTTCCCAGGAAGGCTCTGCCATTAGGTCTGTCCTTGGGCTCCATATTTATACAGTTGAAGGGGTGCACAGATGGGCTCTCAATTGAATTCCATCTTCAACACCATCAGAGATTGATTTTGTACTAGCTTTTAATTTTACTATAATTAATTAGATCATTACAACTGTTTGCTATTGATCTCCCTACTTAAACCTCCAGTGTGTGGGTCTGCTCAGGGTCCTAAAAGCCATGGTGGCCACAGTTGGGGCTCCTGGCGGCCCAGGTCCTTGGTGGACCCAAGACCTGGGAGGGGAGTGGGGACAGCCCAGGGACTGAGCCAAGAAATTAAAGAGAAGGCAGTGCTGGGGGGTGGGACCTGAGCTAGCAGTTGAAAGAACTGGAACTTGAGCTGCAGGAGGAGAGAGCAGAGAAATGAGGTTTAGGGAAGGTGAGGAGTGAGGCCAAAAGAGCCCAGAGTTAGGCCTTGACCTCTACGCAATTATTTGGAAAATTCTGGAAACCCGACCCAGTGCTCCCCACTAGTCCCAAACTAAACTTGGGTACTTGGCTTCCCATCTGGAAGGGGGCAGTCCCTCTGGTAGACAGATTCCGATTCCCCTTCCCACAGTGGTCCCCTGGGCCTGCCTCCTTGTCCCTCGGGCTGTCTAGATTTGGGGATCAGAGCCTTCTCCCCACACAGGTCAGACACATATGCACCAGGGCTCATAGTCAATGCGCAAGGCACGCACGATTACACAAGAGGTACACGCTGGCTCCCACCCTATAGTCCCTATGCCCATCTCACTAAGCTCCCAACTTGGAGGAAGTTGCACACAATATTTATGCCCGAGAGAAAGTGGAAAGTTCAAGCCCAAACGCTCTTCAGAAAAGAAAAGGCAAGTTCTGCAAAAAGAGCGGGAGTAGTAAAACACACGTTTCCCGGTGGAAAGTTTTCATTAGATTCAGCGGACACCGCGAGGGAAGTAGGCAGCGGCCCCCGCGGCG